GTCATTTGAATAAGATATACGAAAATATTAAAGTGTAAGAGTAGTTTCATAACTTACATAGATGAATTATTAATTAAACTTATTAACGAGTCATTTGAATAAGATATACGAAAATATTAAAGTGTAAGAGTAGTTTCATAACTTACATAGATGAATTATTAATTAAACTTATTAACGAGTCATTTGAATAAGATATACGAAAATATTAAAGTGTAAGAGTAGTTTCATAACTTATATAGATGAATTATTAATTAAACTTATAAACGAGTCATTTGGATAAGATATGCGAAAATATTAAAGTGTAAGAGTAGTTTCATAACTTATATAGATGAATTAATAATTAAACTTATAAACGAGTCATTTGGATAAGATATGCGAAAATATTAAAGTCAGAAAATCATCGTATCTGCAGATAAACCAGTTGACCTTGAACTTTTGCGGGCCATATCTACCCATTCAAACATTTAATCTACCAAAAAAATATAAGTGTCAAGCCCACTATATTATTGGATTTACCACTTATCACTGAGTTATTCTTATTTCAGGGAATTCCGCCTCCCATCAGTAACCCTTGACGATAGCAAATAAAGACAGATCTCATATAATATATATTATATATATATATATATATATAAATGCTGAATATTTCTGAAGATCCTCTACAAATATAGGATCACTGTGTGAGTAAAAGACATCTCCAAAGTTCTCTGTGTCACGGTAGCATCTGACTGTTGCTTGCAGGAACCCACAAGACACAGTATTTCCGAGTTTGAATTCGGCTTATCACAAACGCTCTAAGCTTCCCTCATAATTCAATAAGTTCCGCGAGACAAGGCCTAAGTAGGTATGCGTATTTAATCAGAGCAAGCGACCAACTTAAAGCAAAACTTAACATCAACCTGGTAATAAGATTAGCTAAGTAAGTATACATTTTTACTTATTAAGATTAAAATGCATTGTTTCATCAATTGGGTACCCCGTGCTGTTAATGGTATTTTGGGCCGTAATCCTAATAATATCTCCCGATGTTCAGCCGGCTTAGTAGATTAGGTTAGTCTTAGATACATATGTTTAACAACCCAAAACAACCTCTTAGTATAACAACGAAAAAATATATAAAAAATAATAAAATTCGATGTATTAAACATTCTAACCAATATTGTTAATGAGAGCAACAATATAGAAATAATAGAGTATACGTTACTCAGGGCGCACACAAAAAATAACTGTTGGCTTGAAGTAGTGTCGTAGATTTCATGTTAAAATAATAAACTTAAAGGAACATCTCCAGCTTTAATTTAAATAATCTTTCTTAAGGATGATAAATATATATATGCGCGTGTGTTGCTATACGTTACTATATGCGCGCGTGTGTGTGTTGCTATACGTTACTATATTCACTTTATTATTTTTATATTCTTAAAAGTTCTTTATCTTTCCATCTGAGATTTGGTAAACATAAGTTTAACTTTAATGTACTTATCCGTTATTTTAACTTTAGCTTTAAATTATGTTTAAATATTTAGTTAATGATTACTTTATATCTGCGTTACGATTTAGTTAAGTTCATTGTATGCATATATCTTCGTTGCTTTCAAGACAATTGGTACAATAATTAATTATTTTAGAAAGTTGGAATGCTATTTTTCTTTATTCTTGTATGCTAACTTAACTTCTCAATACGTCAAGCACAACAGCTAATAACGATAAACTACCAAAAACATGTTTTCTATTGTACGTGTGTATGTTTGGTATTCGAATTTTCGATAGGATCAGTTTATAAATTTACAGAATACACATACATATAACACACACACACACACACATATATATATATGTATAATACACATAAATATAACACACACACACACATATATATATAATACACATACATATAACACACACACATATATGTATAACACACATACATATAACATATATATATATATATGACACATCTACATATAACACACACATTTATATATATATATATATGTAACCATTGAGACTTAGTTATGGAAAAACCTAACTGGTTTTCGTTGCAGTTGTTTCTTCACTGCCACCTTTTTCTAACACCGACATCGAACACCAACCTCACTTCAGTAACGAACCCCCCACTGACGTCACCGTTTCTGTCGGCCAAACAGCACACTTGCAATGCAGAGTTGTTGACCTTGGGGATAAAATGGTATGTATCAGTTCTCTCTCTCTTTTTTGTTGTTGTTAGATTTGACAAAAAAAACACGAGAAATTTGTGCAAGAAAGAGGGCGAAACGCTAGAGCTACGAAAACCGTTGCACATGGACTCATAACTGCTCATGTAGTTGAAAGTATTGTATGGTAGCTGAAAAACGTTTACTAGGTAGGGTAAAATGGGTATAGAGTAGTGAGATAAGCATAACCGATAACTTCAAGCTCTCAAAAGAGAGAACTGAACGATAAACGCCAAGGTTCAAACCCCGGCCAAATGTAGATTACATAAGCACATTTTGCTTTTATCTATGTTATGAAATATTAAGTGTATTTATGTTTAAATACAGCTTTCTAGATATATTGTGATATTTTTTAAGCTTTTACAATTTGAAATGAATGCTAGTACATATCAAATGCTGAATGCCATGGATAGAAATAAAAAAAAATATAAGATATAGTTTCTTTTATGTGTGTATATATATATATATATAGGAACGTGGTTTTAGTATAATATATTTCCTGAATAATATAACACTATGAATTTATAATAGGCTTCATTAATTGTTTGTTTGTTTTGAATTTCGTGCAAAGCTACACGAGGGCTATCTGCGCTAGCCGTCGCTAGTTTAGTAGTGTAAGACTAGAGGGAAGGCAGCTAGTCATCACCACCCACCGCCAACTCTTGGGCTACTCTTTTACCAACGAATAGTGGGATTGACCGTCACATTATAACGCCCCCCCCCCACGGCTGATTGCGAGTCGAGCGCCCCCTAACCACCTGGACATGCCCGGGCCTGGCTTCATTAACATAGAAAGAAGAAATTGGTGTAAATATCGTTTTATATTATAATATGTACAATATAAAATCAATTAGGGATCAGCAAAAAGGTGATAAATATTTTAAACTATAACTATTTTAATAGAAGAATTAATTGTTTTTCAATCACCAAATAATAGCAAAAATGTTTAGATGCAAATTGAGCTTAGCTCAGAAAACGTCTTGTACAGCGTGAATAAGTTTATGGATAAGAGTTCTAACGTCTTGTACAGTCTGGAAAAGTTTAGGGATAAGATTTCTAACGTCTTGTACAGTCTGAATAAAAGTATAACGTCTTGCACAGCCTGAATAAGTTTAGGAATAACAGTTCTAACGTCTTGTTCAGCCTGGATAAGTTTAGGAATAAGAGTTTTAACGTCTTGCGCAGCCTGGATAAGTTTAGGTATAAGTGTTCTAATGTCTTACGCAACATGGATAAGTTTAGGGTTAAGAGCTCTAACGTCTTACACAGACTGGATACGTTTAAGGATAGCAGTTCTAACGTTTTGCACAGCATGGATAAGTTTAGGGATAATAGCTCTAACGTCTTGCACAGCCTGGATAAGTTTCGGGATAACAATTCTAATGTCTTGCGCAGCTTGGATATGTTTGACAATAAAAGCTCTGGGAAGTTTTTCCACTTGATCCAGTGTGTTAGATAGGTAAGATAGACTTGAAATCATGGGTCTTTCAATCTCACAACAGCCTACTGTTCAAGGTAGGCATTTTGAATACATTCACAGTGGGAACGAGCATTAATGTCTATCAAAGTGAAATCCTGTTCAATGGTCACGTCAAAGGCTTGACAACGGTTGCTAGGATATCCATCCCATAACAAATAACAGAAACGTTCCTAATTATATTCATTGGAGAAGATAATTTTTGCATACCTTCAGGAACCTACCAAAGAATTGGTAACTTTGTAGTTAATTATCCTCCATCTTGATGTTCATGCCCCTCCAACACACACAATCTAGTTATACATATCAAAGATTGAGCATGTTATATTAAAACGAATCTGGAGCCCCACCACGTCTGTATAGTCCATGTCACCACTTCCATTCACGCTCTATCTGACAATTTATGAACCGACACATATTCAGAGATTGAGCATGTTATATTAAAACGAATCTGGAGCCCCACCACGTCTGTATAGTCCATGTCACCACTTCCATTCACCCTCTATCTGACAATTGTGTATCATGATAATAGCCCTGCAGTGTAGTTATCGTTGCAAAAGCCTCCTGTCCTAAAGCTGTTATGTTCAAGGTATACCCCCCCCCGAGTTTTTCCATAATCCATTTATTGCACGAAGGCAACGATTTACCATTGTCCACTTTTAACAGCTTGGCCACACAGAAGTCCAAAGGCGCTGCGTCGGCGATCTAGATCTAGCCAGTAAGTCTTTCAGTGACGTGTCCACCAGGGTGGGGTGAGTGGTGGCGATATGGCAGACCTCATTAAGGATCTCTGTTCCCTATCAGCCCCCTGATATATCATAATTTAGTCTTTTGATATGCGTAAATTCTCCCTACATTGTGACATGAAAATGTTAATTTGTTTGGACGGGCGGGGTAGTCGTACTATGTAACTTGAACCGAAAAAAAGTATCTCCAATAAGATAAAACCTTAGGGGTCATTTTAATGGAAGTTTCAAAACGCATCAGACCGCCTTGTAGCTGTATGAAGAAAGTTTGAGGTAATTTCGGCTTTTTTCGATAATTAAAAAACAAATAGACACTTTTTAAACCCCTTCTTATACATACTTTCTCCCCAAATAAAAATCTTAGAAATGCCACTGATATCTTCAGCATGAATATTCGTTTCATTCTTCAGCTGACGGTTTAACTGATATGTCACGAAACCAACTTGGTAAAGTTGCATACTGTTGCATGGGGTACGTGGACAGTTTTTGCCACTGACCTTTGTATTAATGTATTTTCACATGTTACGACTTGTTGCAGGTTTATTTCCAGATGGTCTTGGTGCCTCAAGTTGATCCATACTTCATTTGTTTTCTAATACCATAAAGTGTAAGGGATATTCCCGTCTTGTAAATTCTAAATCGCCAATCTGAACACGTTTTTATTATTTGAATGTATGAATATTTTGCGTCAGACACAGTTGTTACATACCCTTCCCAAAAATGGTCAACTTTTGGTGGCATCACACTATCTACGTAAGGTCAAAAATGGTCAAAACGTAATTCATATACATTTTGTCCATCGCAGTTACATTACTTGCTGAGTTACATATTCAAAATATTTTTATTATAACGTACTTCACCCTGTATATCTGTAGCTGCGTAGTTTTAGTGCATGTTTTATACAAACGAAAAATTTATTCATGCATATAAGCCCCCCCCCCCCTCCCCCCCGTGGGC